AATAGGATCACAAGTCCGCATCTTGTACAGCAATTAACCACTAAGAAGAATATATGCAGTGTATTATTTGTTGAAACTGTCCTTCCGATTTGATTTGAAACTGTCTCATTGCTATCTCTTTGTCAATAAAACTTTGAAAAAAAAATAAATAAAGTTATTAAAAAAAATGTAGAGTATGTTTTATACCTACAAAAAATAAACATGTTTAATTTAGATTAGTCTCATTTTATGTGCTAAATACGCATGTGTGCTTATGGTAGTGAGTACTGCACTGAACAGTGAAGATCTGGTTTGTTACTAAGTCCTCTTATTTTTGTCTCTTACATATCAGTTCCTTCTTCTGTCTCTACTATCACTATCCTGATATAGATGACTGATAACCCTCCCTTACTTTCCTCTCATTTCATGCTGCAGTAGAAAGCGCCAGAAAATCCTCTTCTACTTCTCTCCCATCATTTACTCCCTCGAATCTCATCATTTTTCTGAGTAATTCTTTCTTGACCCTCATTTATTAATTAGGTCAGTTCCAGCTATTACCTACTCTTAAAGCACCATGAGTTTCCTGTGTTGCAGCACCTAGTTTATTTCTATTTATATAAGTATACCATTGTAAGATCCAAAAGAGCCAAGACCATATTGTTTTTTCTTTCCTTCAGTTTCTCTCTAGTAGCTAACAGTGCAAGACATTATTCAGTAGTAATTATTCAACAAATATCTGTTAAAACTACTAAATGAACCTTTTCCTCATCATTTCTGGGATTGAATCCAGACCTTTTACACTGAGCTACATCCCTAGCCATCTTCATTTTGAGACAGGGTCTCTAAATTGCCCAGGCTGAGCTTAAACTTGTGGTCTTCCTGCCTCTTACTTCAGCCTCCCAGAGTGCCTTCTGTGAAAATCCAGTGGTCCCCAACATAATAGTGTCTCATTCAGCACTTGATAAGCACTCCTATGGAATGTTACCTTTCCATTGTCTATTATCTGTTGGTATGCTTTGTTCTGCCCTTTTAATGAATTCTTTTTATCAACTCACTAAATTACAGATTTAAAACCTGGTGTGTGAGACTTTATATAATCTGGCCTCCGTACTGTGTTGCTAAACTGCCCTATAAAACTAGCCAATTTATATTCTTCCTAATCTCCAGGTAACCATTACTCTGAGGAACTATAATTCTATTCATTAAGTGCTTTTATTTACCATATACTAAACAAATATCTAGATTAGTGCTATTCAGTAGAATTTTGTATTCTGTGTATCTGTTCTATGTGTGTTTTGTTCTTTGTATTTCCACTGGCTACCTGTGTCTATTAAGCACATTTTGAGGATCCATTCTCATTATTTTTATTCATCTATTTTCATTAATTTATATTTTATTAGCTATATGGATAGTGTTTACCATACTGGATGGTACAGATCAAGGTAGTGGGCATACATGTTTACAGGCTGGTATGGAGAAACAATGAAAAAATTATATCAGATGGTGATACACAGTATTGAGGAAAGTCAAATAAGTGATGCAATATCAGTGTTGGGAGGAACATGAATATTCTTTATATAGGATTTTCCAAGAAAGTGTCCCTGATACACTGTTACTTGAGCAGAGGAAAGCACAAGCCATATAGGTGTATTCAGAATGTTCAGAAAGAGGGAACAGCATTTTACAAAGGTCTTGAGGCAAAAATGTGGTAGACATCATCTGGAAATGGCAAGCAGGCCAGTTTTCCTGGATTGTATGTACAGGGAGAACAGCTGAAAATGGGACCATGAAGAGCTTCATTGGCTGTTGGGAAGACTTAGTTTTTACTTTGTGAGACAGGGCACAATTGGCCTCCTCTGCAGGGAGGTCTCATGCTCTTAATCTTCAAAAGGATTGCTTTGGCTTTCATGTTGAGAACACTTACATATCTTAGTTTGTTTTGTGTTGCTATATCAAAATACCAGAGACTGGGTAACTTGTAAAAAAAGGCTCATTTGGCTTACAATACTGGTGGCTAGAAGGTCCAAACAATGTGATACAGAGTTCTGGAAAGGGCATCTAATAGCTGTATAAAAACAGTAGAGAAATGGAAAGGGAACCAGTCACCTACAGAACGGGACAAGCACATGGTTCAGCCTCACTTCATAGCAACCTGGGAACTAATCTAATCATATGATAACTAACCTATTTTCTTGAAATGGGTATTAATCCCTTCTGAGAATGGTGCCCCAAAGTCTAATTATCTCCCTCCAGGTTCTTCTCTTTAAGGTTTATTATATCCAGAAACAAGTTTCCTGAACATAAACCTTTGGGGGGACAATTAATATAACAAATACCTTTATATCAGTAATATTTTCTTCCAGAGCATGTATTAAAAAGCTTTATCCCTTTTCTTGTCTTAATTCAGATGTCATTATTCTACCTTTTATTACTATTAAAAGTGATTATTCTATCTTTTATTAATATTCTTAAGATTATATATTCTGTTGGGTTTTTTTAATAAATAAATTTTTGACAGGGATTATTTCTTGTGTTATTTCTACATCATACCTATAAATGTTTGTTGACTATTTCCCTGTAATTAAAACTACAATACAGAAATATTTTCTTGAATCACAGTGAAATGGTAGTTAATCAAAGTGTTATTCTATGCTTGCTTTTATGTTACATTTAAATGTGGTAATTAGCAATTCATTTGTATAATTATTGTATATCAGGTATTCAGAGCATTTACCTATATATACTAATCCTCACATAATACTGTGAGCAGGTTTTATCATCATTATATTCCAGATGGGAAGCTGGAGCAAAGAATCATTATGTAATTTATACACTCAGCTGTTTAATGGCAAAGACAGGATTTAAAGCCAAGCAGCTTGCTTTACTAAATATAGTAATTTTTTTAATAGATCATAGACCAATAGAACTGGAAAAACAATTTTGGGAAGCAACGTACTTTTTAAAAAATTGTAACATTTATTCTGTAAAAATTCTGATAATTTTTTTTGAATTGCCTTGAGTACGTCAAGCTATGATTTTTTTTTAAAGTTTTATTGATAAACAGCAATGAGACAGTTTCAAATCAAATCGGAAATATTTGATAATTTTACAAATTACATTATTTAGGAAAGTTTAAAATTATGTAAAAGTTTGATCTATAGTATGGTTTTAAAGTAGTATATTAAGCATTTTAAATTTTTTATATGAGGCAAAGAAAATAATAGCACATTAATATAAAGATGTCATAGAAACAATATTTTTTTGTTTTCCCCTTATTTAGGGCCTGTATATCTTTAGGAGCAAGAACTCGAGCCATTGGAAATGCAGCCAAAAGCCAGGTAAATTGTTAATGTGGAAGTTTGGCTTAGACACAGAATTAACTGAATCTTGGTAATTAATGGTAATTAAGTTACCACTGTTTTCCCATATTTTGTCACTTTCTATGAGGGATAATCTCTCTAACTCAGACATTTCAATGAAAAATGACCAATGCACAAATTTCCAGAATAGCCCAATGTGGTTAACATTTTACAGAATTTGTTTAGGTAAATATATAGGCTTCTGACAGGCTTATCAATAGAACACTAATTTTCTTTTTGTTTTTTAAGACAGGGTCTCCCTTTGCAGTGCAGGCTGGCCATGAACTCATTATGTAGCTCAGGCTAGCCTGGAATTTGCAGTGATCCTCCAGCCTCAGCCTCCCAAGTGCTGGGATTACATGTATGTGCTACCACACCTCACTAGAACACTAATTTTTAATATTTGATAATTTTTAATTGCCTTAAGTACTTCAAGCTATGATTTTTTTAAAGTTTTATTGATAAACAGATAGCAATGAGACAGTTTCAAATAAAATCGGAAATATTTGATAATTTTTTGAACGTTGATTTTTTTAGATCACTTACTGAACTAAAACCCATAATTATTTCTTATACTTTGTATACACCTGGACCTTGTTTTTCTTCCTTTTGAAATTATTTAATAGGGTTTTTTCTTACAACTTTATAAGAATAATTGACTCACTTATCTAGAAGTTTTTGCTTATGTTTTTATCAAGGCATAAGCAAAAACTTATGTTTTTTGTAATTACTAATATGAAAATGTATTTATTTTTTTATTTTCCTATTATACATAAATGTTGAGTTTGAGCTAAAATGGTTCGCTGAAGTTTATATATCAGTTTCCATCAGATCTTTTTAGTACATCATGGATATTTAGAGTCTTAGAAGAAATCATTCTCCAGCTGATCATGGTAGTGTGTGCCTGTAATTCTAGCACTCGAGAGGCTGAGGCAGGAGGATTGCTGGGAGCTTAAGGCCAACCTGGGCTACTAGTAAGTTCAAGGCTACCCTGGACTACACAGTTACAGCCTGTCTCAAAAAATAAAAATAAAAAAAAATTAAAAATCAATCCAAAGGTCTTTTTTGTTTAGAACTACACAAATCAACATATTTATTAAATATTCTGTTTTCATATCATAGTTGAAGGTCAGTATTTGTTTGGCTTTAAAAGTACAGTGGTTATACTATACAGTACTATGTAACTTGAACTACATGTTTTAGTGAAAGAAAAAATGATTTTGTCAAAATACAAGCCATTTACAAAACAGGCCTCTTTAATTTAGCATTATGTTACTTGGAAGGGGTTTTAACTTACTAGCCTAGAAATATATCTTATCCCTGGCTAGTACATGATAAATTTTAGAGATATTGAGAATAAAATATTAGACAGTAAAACAAAAGTCGAATAAAAATTCAGACATGAAAGTAGAAAAATATAAGAAATTCAGGTATGGTGGTGCATGCCTGTATCCTAGCATTTAAGAGGCAAGGCAGGAGGATCTTGAGAATTCAAGAAGAAAAGTGTTGAAGTATTCATATCAAAGAGATACAAATTGTGGACAGACTTTTATTATATTTGAAAAACTTTAAAGATTTGTATACTCATATGGCATTAATGCTTAGGATATAAAGTTTTTTATAATCATGTCATATTAATATTTAGTATAAGAGGAGAATTCGGGAGGTAATAAAGATGTATACATTCTAATTGTATCACTTTACTGTCATTAGGGAATCAGAAAATTGGTTATAATTCTGAACTTCATTCTGTAGAGTAAGGGAACCTGGTGGCTTTAAGTATTAAAATAGTATTTTATTTTATATTCATGAAGAAATTGATAAATACAAATATTTACTGCCAACAGATAGTCACAAATGTAAGAAATACAATTCATGGATTCAAAAAGCTTCACGGGAGATCATTTGATGATCCTATCGTGCAGACAGAAAGAATCAGGCTTCCCTATGAACTGCAAAAGATGCCTAATGGAAGTGCAGGAGTTAAGGTAAGCTTTAGAATGAAAAAAAACAAAATATGATAATGTTGTGATTTCTCTCCCTCTGGATATAGTATATACACACTCAAGACATTATTCAGTTTTTGTAATAATTTCAAAGAATGACAAAAAAATCTAATTTAGGTAATAACTGTTCAAGTCAAATACTGATTTTACTGACAGGGAAAAAATTTTTAGTATTTGTAAAACGAATAGCTAAACCACTTAGAAGATTGCAATTTTTTGAATTTTTGTATGAGATTCATATATGTTACCTAGAAAAATTCAACAAGAATTTTAAAGGAAAAATTTCTCCTTTGTTCCATTGTCCTGGGCATTCCAAAAATGGAATACTGCATGTAAATGGGCTAAGGGAAAAAGGCAAAGACATACGTAGTTTACAAGATTAGAGGGCTGGCTAGTTGGCTCAGCAGATTAAAGCACCTGCTGAGGCAGATACAGGGACAGGGGTTCAATCCCTGGCATGTCATATCAGCCCTGCCCACTAGGGCACACTGAGATGGCAATTGAGATTGGGTTTGGTGGTGGGTGCCTGTAATCTCAGTGTTTGGGAGGCTGAAAACAGGAGAATCACTACAAGTCCAATCTGCATAGTAAGACCCTGTAGACCTTGTACTAAATGAAAAAAAGACTGGACCCAAAGAGTATATTTGTTGCTTTAAGTTTTTCTAATTTAGAAGACTCTTAATTTTTATGTGTGTTAAAGCAAACTTTTCTTCTATGAGACAGATTCAGGATTTTTAATTCTACATTCTACATCTGCATCCCAAGACAGTTAGAAATTGGTTAACAAAAATGTGATTTTTGTTTAAAATAGTGGGATACCTCAAAGTAATTACTGAATGAACCAACAGTTGTATTCTTTAGTCATTATCCAAGAAACTTAAAATGTATGTGCACATAAAATCTGTATATGAATATTCATAACATCCTTTTTAGGAAAGTACAGGTTTGAGACTTGCCATATAGTTGAGGCTGGCCTTGAACTCAGTTTGTAGCCTAGACTAGCCACAAACTCAAGGTGAATTTCCTACTTCAGCTTCCCAAGTTCTGGGATAAGAGCTATCCACCACCACACCCAGTATAATAGCATTATCTATAATAGCCAGAAAGTATAAAAATTCAAGTGTCTGTTAACTAGTTGAATGGATAAATAACATATGACACATCTATACAATAGAACTTTGGCCATAAAAAGAATGAGGTACTGATATTTCCAATAATGTACATGGGCTTCAAAACATTTTCAGTGAAAGAAAGCTGTTACAGAAGTACACATATATCAGATAGAAGATGAAAGTTGTGAGAGCCTGAGGCCAGAGGATTGTTGCAAGTTAGAGCTTAAAACTTATAAGAGAAGAGATCAAACTATCCTTATTTTTTAAATAATTTTATTGAGAAAGAAGTAGCAATGAGTCAGTTTCAAAACAGGTTAGTAGGACAGTTACAGTAATTAATACATTGCATATTGTTGTCTTTGTAGTAGTTATTCATAGTATAAGATGCAGACATGATATCTTGTCTAAACCCTATTAATTCAAAACTTTCTTCTCATTGAACTAACAGAGTAGCTGTATGTCTATGCTATTTTTATATACAGACACATATTTTTTTTACTACAAAATGGTCCTTCATTTATATCCCCTTTTTTGTTTACTTTTGTCAGAGATGGGTATTCCATTGCCATTCATATATTGTAGGTGCATGAATTCAGCAAAAAAAATCCAATATAGTGCAGTGTCTATAATAGTAGTGGGTTATCCGCATGACTGGCAATGTCAGAAAGTTGTTGACTTGAGCTTTTTACAGCTCAGCATATTAATATGGCTTTACTTTTTGTACCTCATTTTTATACTTTTCTGCTGTATGGTTAAAACCAGGATAAAGCAGGACCTATAAAACAAGAAATGTAACTTTTGTATTTGACAAGGTCAGTCAAATCCCCTCAGGATTTACTCTGAAATCCTGTGCCGCACTTTGTAGATCCTTTGTCAGTGTCAGCCATGTGGATGAGTTATGGCCATTGCTTGACCAATTTGCTCTCTGTGAAAGCCTGAGAGAATGTTTTCTCTCCATGTGACTCTCCTTAGGCAAACTCTACATTGTTGATCTCATTCCTTTCCTCTGTGGCCCTATAATCTCCTTGATCAGAAAATTTGGGACACCTCTGAGTTACAGGATATTACAATACAGGTTCTCTTATGTCCTGAGTCCTCACTGACCTTCAAGGGCCAGGGCCAAAATGTTGGCTATCCTTGTAGCCCTTCTTTTTCTCTAATTTTTTGTTCTGCAAACTTAAATTGTTAACCCTCCAGAAGAGAAGCTTAATGATATTATTACCCTAAAACATAGGCTGTTGAGCTTAACATCAGTATCTGTCTGAATATTAAATGTCTTAGATATAACACGGAACAAGTATTTTCCATCAATCCTTGATATGCTAAACTTTAAATCCCTACAGAATGTGAAAAAAATAAAATAAATAAAATTTAAAAATAGTAAAAAAAAAATACAGATTTTTACACAGATATTTAGAAATCTAACTATATACAACATTGTAGCAGGACAGTCCTATGACATTCTTGTCTCTTGTTTTCATTTAGTTCCTTTTTTTAAAAAAAAAAAACATTTACTTGAGAGAGAGTATAGAAGTAATTGACATGACATTAGCAGAATTACGCTTTTAGAAGACCAGAATGACAGGGATTCCAAGCATGGCCCTAGTATTACACATTGCTAGCTTCAGTGCAGTTGTTTAGTTGTTTGAACCTGATACAGATTCTCAGGATCATTGCCTTAACCATCTTGTGCATATAATTGTATTGTTTTGCCCCTGCCATGTTTCCTAGCTTTTTTCCTTGCCCTCTCTTCATTGTTTAATCCTTAAATTCTTGCTTTCCATTTAGTTGTGTTCAAACTATCCTTAATCATAGATGACATTATCACTTATATAGAAGACCCAAAAAATTCAATCAAAAGACATCGAGAACTAATAAATTCAGCAAAGTAGCAGGATACAAAGAAACATCCAAAAGTCAATAGCATTCAAAATGAATACACCAAGAAAGAAATTAGGAGAAAATCCCATTTACAGTGGCTTCAAAATAAGCTACTTAGGAATTAGCCTACTGAAACAAGTGAGCAGTTCTGTAATGAAAACTGCAGTATACTGAAAAGAGAAAAGGACATCAGAAAACTGGATGACATCCCTTTACCTGGGTGGGCAAAACAAGGAATGTTTGAAATGCCGTATTTCCAAAACCGATATATAGATTTTATTTTATTTTTTTTCAAAGTTTTATTGATAAACAGATAGCAACGAGACAGTTTCAAATCAAATTGGAAGCACAGTTTCAACAAATAATACACTGCATATATTCTTCTTAGTGGTTAATTGCTGTACAAGATGCGGACTTGTGATCCTATTTACAAACACCAT